TTGCTATTACTTAGTAAACAATTAAAAAATGGTAAAATAGTCTTTTGTTCATTTTTATCCTATTCAGTCCGTCCAACCAAACATTGGATTACTAAACGTAGTCCTTTCCAGACATCTAATCTCATAAAAAAACAAACACAGGATACATTTAATCCAACCAAATAGTCGGGAGATTCACAGTCCCAAGATTCAAGTTGATGATTCTAATTCCCCTTATCCAGTCCGTCCAATCAAAACACACCTTCTTGCTTGAGCTAAAACACATACCCCTTTGAATGATGCAATCTTTTATAAACAGATTATGCAATCTGTTTCCTAAACAAATAAATGCAGTATGTTTAATATGTTATAAAAATAATCTGTTTCAAGATTTATAACATATTACCCTTTCAATAAGAAATTTATTTTTTCCTAACAAATAAATAATTTGTTATTACAATTTTCTAACAATACAAGCTCTTACAATTCCAAACAAAAATAGCTCTTCAATGTATGTTTATATATATTCATTACAAATCTATCATCATTCTCAAATTATTATATATTATATATATGTGTGTGTGTGTGTGTGTGTGTGTGAAGTATAGAGAGAGAGATGAACAAAGCCGAAAGAAATTGACCTGACAAGGACGACAATGGAGAAGGAGACGTGGACAAGATGCCAGATGTGCACTAACTTGAAGACGTGGACAGATCTGCAAATGCTTGAGCGAGAAAGGGAAGACAGAGAGAAAGACGAACACGGTGACGGAGAAGTGAACAACGTCGACGGTGGAGAAGAGGGACGACGGGTGGAAGCCCCTACACCTGTATAGAGCTTCAGCGAGAATAGAGCTGATATTAACACGATTTTTTTCTCCTCTGTTATCAGATTTTTGAGCAGGATTTTTATTTTTTTTTTTTTCACAGTGTGTAAAACACACGCACTGTAATATGAAGTTGATTTTTCCTCCCTTGTTGGATGCAGCATATTAGAGCTGCTCCTAGTACTTATGTTTTAGTGGTCTGAATTGGAATTGTTTTTCCATATAATGATTTAAACATTTATTATTAAGAACGAAACTCAATAAATACTCACAAATGAATTAAATATAACTACTTTTGATTAGAATATATGTTTGGAAATGTTTTTTATTACAATATAGATTAAAAGAAACCTACAAAAAAATATCCAAATTTCAATACTTGAAAAAAAAAAGATAAGAAAATGAAAAAAAAAAAAATAAAAATAAAAATAAATTGAAGGGAGAATGGCTGAAAGAATAAAAAGGTTGCAAATGTATTTAGATAAGTCCATTGGTAAGAGTAAAATTCCATTTTCCTTAAGAAAAATGATTTGGCAAACATAGAATTCATCAGAATGATGTGTCAATGTCATTGGTGAAATTACAAAAAAATAATATATGTTTTGATTAAAAATGTAGGAACACAAAAATGCCAACTATTCTGATAAATTTTTTGTGCAAAAATTCTAATTGTACAATCATTACTCTTTGCTTTTTGGAACATATATAGTGGTTCTTTTAAAAAATTAAAAAATATTAATGTTCTTTAAAATAATTTAAGAGGAACAACTAATAATTTCAATGGATATAATTTTGAATCTCTATATTTATGAGTACCAGCATAATTTTCTCAAAAGTGTGAAGGGGGGGTCTCATGCCCCCCCTTCTGCCAGTCTTTTCATTGTCTCCACCACTAGTGTAACACTTCAACCTGGCAAGTTCATTAGATTGATAATTGCTTCAAAATCAATCTTAAATTCGTTAAAAATTATTTAAGTTCGTCCAAACTCACTTTCAATTCAAATTTATTTGTCCAACCTAACACATAGCAATAATATGTGAATTGCCTGGATAACCCAAAAAAGGGGATTTTTTTAAATTTTATTTTGCTTAGCTAATAATTTGTTAAAGTTAGTTTCTTTTTTTTAATACAATTATTAAAAACCCGGCTTTGGGATAGGCCACAAAAGCCAACTGTCTTGGGCCCTAGATTTTTGGTTAAAAAACGACTGCCAAGTTGTTACCCTACATGTTATACAAAAAAAATAAGCCCAATACTCGTCGAGGTCCCATCTAACTATAACTGGCGGAAGACAAAAAAGAAAATAAAATAGGTCCATTAGTCCAATCTCACTTTGTGAAACAAAAATCTTTTTTGATTCGTCTGTTCAAGTCCTGATTAGAACTCTGAAACTAATGGAAATGTGAATTTCATAACAAAAAAAATCTTAGTTTTTCTTTCTTCTGCTATGTTTTGGCCAAAATAATAATAATAATAATAAAAAATTTAAGGTCAAATTAAAATTATATAAAATCTTGTATTTAAATTATAAAAAAACTTATCAGTTTAAGTATCTTCTTCCTAACGGAGTAAACTCATGTGTAATCTTCTTATTTGAATTTATGTGATTAGATTTTAGTTAATAATTTAGTGATTATATATGTAAGTTACCTTTGAATAGATAGTAACAAATAAAATTGTGAGTTCAATCAATTCTACCGTTTTATTATTATTATTATTATTATTATTATTATTATTTATTTTTATTTTTTTATGTTAAGAGGGCCCATCTTAGGGGTGTTTTGGGAACAAAATAAAAAGCTAGCTTTTAGTTTTTTACTCATTTTGGGTCACCATCACCTCTCACATTTTTTGCTCACAAAAAAACAAAATAAGCTAAAAAAGTCAAAAAATTAACTTCTTATCAACTTCTCAAAACACCACTTAATAATGGGTGATTATTCAGTACTCCCGGAGTATAGACACGTGGTGCTCCATAAGATTTTGATTGGTAAAGAGACACAAGGGCCCACGATTTATGTTGGAGATGGGGGGACAACATGAGGCTAACTAATTAGTAATTGAATAATTTTCCCTTAATAATTCACTTAGGCCTATAAAATTCAGGTCAATCCTAATAATATCAAAATAAATAATTTATATGATTGAGAGAAACGGAAACGAGAGATATGAAAATTGAGAAATAGCCATTGTGGCAGTTCTTCTAATTTATGAGTGGGGAAGAAAATGGTAGTTTTTATGTTGCGTAAATTATGTATATCATATAAATATTGATTTTTTTAAGTAACTTTTTATTAGTTTTTCTTTTTTTCTTTTTTAAAGATTTTTAAAAAAATGAATTTTTAAAATTTTTATCGTTCTAAAATTTTTTATATGGACAAAAAATTGAAAAAAAATTGACACTTTATTTTTTAAATCACAAAAAAAAAATAATTTTTATTTTTTAAGTGTATGGCAATCATTACCAACAACACATGGTTTTTGTTGCAGCTTAAATAATTTAATTATTGTTTATTTTAATTTAAGAATCAATGTTAGACTATTTACATTCCGTTTGGATGGGGGGTTTTGTTTCTCACAAAAAATGGTGAGATTTAGTGATAAAGGAATTGGATTTAATGAAAGTTTTTTAAAATATCAAAATTATTCTTATGAAAAAAATAATTTATTAATATGAAAAGTTATTTTGATGAAATGAAAGATAACACTTTCCTTTATTTTATCTTATTTACTCTATTCAAACAAGATAGGTTAGAAATTATTATCTTATTTTATTCATCCAAACATAATGGTGATAAATCATAATCATTTCTTTTATTTTCTTATTAAAATAGTTTATTTTCTTATCTCACCTCATTTCATGATCCGTGTTAGTGCAGTTGTTTTTTATAATTTATTAGATAGAAATAATTTAAATTAGTTGATTATCTGAAAACTGATAAAAGAATACCTTTGACTTATGTTTTTTAATTATCAACTTTCACTAAAGAATTGTACCAAACAGGCGTTAACAAACAAGCTTACAATAGCTTAACAAGGGCAGCACACAGACAATCTCAATCTCCCATACCGCCACCATTGCTAGGGACGTTGGAACTGTTTAAGAGAAATTATAAATTGAACAACAAGTTAACGGATTAGTAAATTAAAAAATATTTTAACTAATTATTATACATTTACATAATATATAACATTAATTTATATAATATTTTTTAGATATATAATACAAAATAATTTAATATAGTATGTTTCATATATATAACTATTAATTTATAATAAATTTTATATTTTAAATCTTTCTATACTTATTTTTATATTAATATTTTATTAAAAATTAATATATATATATATATATTAATTATAACGCCCAGATCGATAAATTATAAATTTTAGAATTTAAACTCCAGTTAATGATTACGAATGGATAGGATTTCAACGGATTGAGCCTATTTTACACCGCCCTAATCGGGAATGAGGTTAGTGATGTGCTTTATAGGCATAGCACTGTGTTGTGAGTCTGTGAATGTAAGTCTTGAATTTGTTTTAATGATCTGAAATATTCATTGTATAGGATTTGTTGAGTAAATCATCTATGAAAAAAAAAAGTTAGTTAGACATCTGTAACTTATAACAAAATTACGTTTATGTTTAAAAAAATAAACGGTTAGTATAATTTCAATAATAATTTATTTTAAAATTGTTATTTATCTTGATTACGTGATTATATTTCTCCGATTAATTTTATTTTTCATATAGATAATACACTTAATAAATTTTATAATACAAAACGATTCAAATTATCGGAATAAATCAAAGGAAAATTTACCCATAAGTCCTAGTTTTTGAAACGTTGAACCATTTAGTCCTAAAAGTTTTCTTATGCTCCATTTAGTCCCATTTTTACATCAACATGATGTGAATGATGTAAATGATCTGATATTTCATTCTATAATTTCAAAATTTATTGAAATCTGATGAACATTAGATGTTTTTCATCCTATATTTTCAAACATTATTGAAATTTGATGAACATTAGATGTTTGAAATCCAATGTTTGTAACATGACTCTGATGTTATTAACATTGTATCTGATATTATTAACATTGTAATGGGACCTTTCAGCCTATAAAAAAAATTTTAGGACTAAACAATGCATAAGTTATTAATTTGGGATTTATTGGTGCATCCCTGAACCAAATGGGGGTGTGACAGCCCGCTGTCACAACACCCACCCCTAATCCGCCCTGACAATTGCTCTCTCATAGATCTGACCTTAATCGTACAAGTATCATACCTTTCAAAATGATGCATTTCCAATTGTTTAGGCTCGTCCCAACTTATGCCTAAATTCTAAAAGAATATTCTTGTTGTTTTTCGTAAAGAATCGATCTCTCAGAACCCTTTTTGGGATTTCAATTTTAGGGTTTTGAGAGATTTGTCTTCATACAGACCCGTCAATGGCCTCTTTTCGTTCTCAGACTCAGTCGTTCGGTCAAACAGAGATTAATTGGGACAAGTATGAATGAATTGCTTTTCTTTGTATCTATACATGCTTTACCTGTTTCTTTGTTCAATCTTTTACTAATTTAGTACTTTAATTTATTTCAATTTATTGTTCTTTAAATGTTAATCATCTTTGTGCTGTGTGATAATGTTGCCAATTAGTGATTTGGGTTTCTTTTTTTGGGAGTGTTAATGATTATTATTCAAAGAAAACGAATTAATTTGATGTAGTAAGATTATGGAATTGAGAAAAGATACAATCACAAACAATTACACATCCAAATACACAAAGAATAGAATAGAGTGAGTATGTGCGTCTAAGACCTACACAGTTGTTTTGGGAATTCACTTTTTTAGTGGTTTTTTAGCTTTTTATGGAAAAAAACGTGTACAAAAAGTAGAGAAAAAAATTGACTTTTTTGGTGTAAGTGAGTGTGATTATGGCATTGTTGTTATTGTTAGGCATGTCATTTTTTTGGCGCCTTGAACTCAATTGGGTCAGAAGAATATGGTGTTCAAAGGGAGCCGTCTTTGAGTTTGTGTTTCAAATGAGTTGTGCTAGGTTGGGGGAAAAAAATGCCAGGAACTGCCATTACATTGGATGATGATAATAACGGTGTTCAGTTCGGTCACATTGGATGTCCTGCTGAGTAAAATGCCTCAGTTGTGTTCTAGATTTCATAAAGGAGTAGAGACCCATTAGTAACATGAACACAAAAGGCTAGAAAGTCGTAACAATAGTCCTTTGTTCCTCTTTTCCTCTGTTTTTGGGTTCAATGATGCATTTCGGGTCTGGGGTTTATTTCTGGTGCTGACAAAATTTAATTGAGAATATTTTTTACAGCAATCAACCAGAATCTGATTACCTCAAATAGGGAATTAACTTCACATGTCTTTTCCCTGTGGCCTTGATATAGATTAGGGAAGAATGTAACTCCATTTTTGGCCAAAACTTTTGAAATTCCGAGCAATATGATTTTGGATAGGAACTCCCCCATAATTTATATGTGCATGACATGATTTTATCAATAAAAGCAGGAACATATAGATTTGAGTGGGAATTCCCAAAAATTTTGATATCATCTCATATATGTGGGCAAGGAGAGAGGTCGAACTTGATTTGTGGATTCCCAAGGATATTTATGGGCCTCTCCATTCTATTACTATAATTGCATTCCAGATGATCATGTCGTAACTCTTGTGTCCTTGTACTTTTTCACGAGGTTGCTTGTTGAAGCTTTTTAGGTTGTGAGGACATCTTAAAATCCATTTATTTTGTAATGGATGAGATTCTGATTATTTAAAATAGAGCCTGAAATGTAGGCCGCTGCAGCGTGGGGGGTAGTGACGAGGACGCTGCACTATATGGTTATGCTTTTGAGGTTTTGTAATGCTCTGCCGGCATAAGTTTCTGATGCCTCTAAGACCACTATGGCCAAAGTTGCAAGAGAAATTAAGGTCTATATCTTTCATCCAAGCACGTAATAAAATTTTATTTGCATTTTTAGGGAAGTCGGTTAAAAGAACCATGCAGACTTTCTAAGTTTTTGACTTACCACCAGTTGAATATTTATGACTGAAAAACTTGCTCACGTCATTCCTAGAGGAATATCAGTAGTTAACAGGGAACCCGTCAATATTTCTCCCTCACCGGATTTCTGTCACACCCCTTTTGATGTTGTAATTTTTTGTCATTGTGTATTTATTCTTTTTTATTTTTCTTTCAAACAGCTTGACTAAATACCTAAGTTTGTTCATGTCTCAAAACCTATTGTGCAGGCTTGATAAAACTAAGTTTTATGTCATAGGAGCTGGAATATTTACTGGGATTACAGTAGCACTATATCCTGTTTCTCTGCTAAAGACCAGGATGCAGGTTGCTTCAAAGGATGTTGTTGATAGAGATGTATTTTCCCTTATAAGAGTCATATTGAGAACTGATGGAATCCGTGGGTTATATAGAGGTTTTGGCACAGTCATCACTGGTGCAATTCCTGCCAGGATTATATTCCTGACTGCTTTAGAGACCACAAAAGTGGCTGCTTTCAGGTTTGTTGAACCATTTAAATTATCAGAACCAACAGAGGCGGCTATAGCAAATGGAATTGGCGGCATGTTAGCGTCACTTTGTTCTCAGGCTGTGTTTGTTCCAATTGATGTGGTATGTTAACCATGTTCATGTTTGATTTCTTTTTAAAAGATTTTTTTTTTTTTTTTTTAGAAAACTTGACAACATGTTTTTTAGAAGTAGATGCCTTTTATAATGCAAAAGTTGTTAGAAAAAGACAACGGAAAAGAAAAGAATAAAATTGAAAAAATTTATGCATAGCACATCTAGTTGTGGTTCAAGTTCTTATTGGCTTCTAACTGAGAATATGTCAGATTTCGGAGGCAGATCTTCATATTTAGGAATTTCCTTATCTTGAAGTGATTTACACTTGTTGCATTCTCAATTTCACTATTAATTTGTGGTTCAGTTTGAAATAGCTTCAATATTGAAAATTGTCTAACTGGAGACCTTTCTATTGGAATGCCATTTTTTTTAATAGCAGTTCTTTTTCCTTCTTGATACTGAGTTATTGGAAACTTCCTATTTCAATTTCGGTTTATTATTGTTTCTGCTTAAGAAATTTATGGAGATCTACTTTTAGATTCTGTAATCTCCATTTGATCAGGTTAGCCAAAGATTGATGGTGCAAGGATACTCGGGCCACGCAAGCTATAATGGGGGACTTGATGTTGTTCGCAAGGTTTTGAAATCGGATGGCATTCGGGGACTGTATAGGGGGTTTGGTCTATCAGTCATGACTTATTCTCCATCTAGTGCTGTATGGTGGGCAAGTTATGGTTCAAGCCAACGCTTAATCTGGAGGTGATGCATGCTTGTTTGATTTAATTTAATGCTTGATTTGTTGTAGGAGCTTATTTAATGCAGAACTCTGGTCAAATAAGTGATTGTTCCTTGTTTAGTTAATCTTCTTAACCCCTTTGTGGACATTGGCCTTGTTTGGTGCAGCTTATGGGCTGCTTATAGCTTCTTCTTCTTCTTCTTCTTCTTCTTTTTTTTGAAAATCTGTGCCAAAGTGTTTGGTGCAATTTCTGCTTACAGCGTGTAAGGCAGAAATAGCTTACATAAGCTGGAAAACAATTAATTATTGAGAAGCAAGGGAAGAGGTTCTTTTAGCTTTTGCTTTTGATTATCAGCTTTTAGTTTGCAAGAAGCTTCACCAAACAGCCCATTGTATAAGCTTTATGGCTGCAGTTATGGTTTAGGAATTTTCTATCATAAACCTCAGTTTCTGCTAACCTCAATTAAAACCATTTCAGTCCTCAACTTGTGCTTACTGCCTCTAATGATGTGAATATTTCTCACTTGCCTCTGACATTGGCTTTATATGAGGGCAATACTTGAATGGTCTAGATAAATAGGTTGGTCTGTTTTTCTTGGATTACATGATAATGAGGAATTGTAATGAATTTTAAGTGCACTATTTATTTTTCTTCTACCATTTTTGTTCCCCACTCATGATTTTCTTTTGTACAGTTTCTTGGGTCATGATACTGAACGTGAGAAATCTGCTCCTAGCCAATGGACAATAGTCGGTGTTCAAGCTGCAGGAGGGATATTTGCTGGTGCCACAGCATCTTGTATCACAACACCATTGGACACCATCAAGACTCGCTTACAGGTATACATAGTTGGGATCAAATTTCTTCTCTTCTGTCAGTTCTGAGACTTGATGTAAGTAATGGAATTACAGTATTTGGAGAGTGAACTCTTCAGTTTTGTTTGTTCCTGATGCCTTTTGTGTTGTTCTATGAGTTGAAGCTGTTTTTTTAACAAAACTATAGCTATTGCCTTGCACAGAAAATTGTAGTAATATTACATCCAGAATTTTTAGAAATGCCTGACTTTTGTGTCTGCTTCAATTCCTCATCAATATGGTCTGAGGTTGTTTTTTATACCAAAAATAACTTGAGCTATTAGCTTGGAAGATGGCTGCTTATCGCTGTCAAAATGAATTCTGCGGTTTTGTATGATTAATTGGAGACTTGGAGTGGTTCTGAAGTTTCTCTTCTATCACTGCATCCTTATATTACTTTATACTAACAATGAAAAGGTATCACTGCATCTATATAATTTGCTCTGTCTTTCTCTTTCTCTCTCTCTCTCTCAAGAAAAGAGCGATGAAAGATAGTTTTTGATTATTGCTATGTCAAACTTGAGGGGCACTCCAAGTATTTATGTAGAAGTATGGGAGTTTCTAACCACATTTTGGCCTCCCATTGTTTTAAAAGTAGAAAGGTAAAAAAAGGAAGTAGCAAATATCGGTTATCACACAATTTTACAGCTTGCTGATTGATTGCATTATGTTCCAGCTAGTAGCTTCGTATGTTAATTCTTCCATTAAGCCAGTTTTTGCAATTTAGGTCATGGGACATGAAAAGAGACATACCATAAGACAAGTTGTTAAAGGATTGGTTGTCGATGATGGCTGGAAAGGTTTATACAGAGGACTCGGTCCAAGGTTTTTCAGCATGTCAGCATGGGGAACCTCAATGATTCTTTCCTATGAATATTTAAGTATGGACTCTTCTTTAACACTTATTTTTATCGTATCACATTATTGTTTTTGTTGTTAGTTATTATTCTGCAGAATGATGAGATTACTAAATAGTTAATGGATTTTTTATCATTGTCATTCACAGTGAGGAGTAAATTTCACTCCATGTTTGTTTTGTAATAGTTTCACATTAAAAGATCTATTTGTGGCTCAAATGTTGTGCAAATCATATGGAGTTGTTACATTTCTAATGGACATCCAGTAGAAGCTTTATAAAGATCTCACTTTTACGCACTATATAAAGCAAATATATGAGCACTTGATCATACGAGTTTTTCTTTTCTTTTCTTTTTTGTTGGAGGGGGCCTGTTTGTCAAATGAAAATGACTGGTTGCGCGAGAGGTAGCTCTCGGCTTACCCCAAAACTCTTCAAATTTGGATGAAGATGGAAATCAATCCCAATCCTCTAGTATGACTACTGATAGATTTTATTACTAGTTAGGCTTAGCTGACACCTTCAAACAAATATTTACAATGAACCTATATGTTTATGTGTAAAGGTTAGAATGTTTGTTGTTAGCTATCCACATGTATATACACAAGCATTTACTTTATGCACTTGATTTGTTCCTATAGCTTAGCAGGCGTTGTTATTTCCTAATGTTTCCCTTTAAAATCAAGATTTTTTGAAAGATATTTTCCTTCACTAATTACTTTTTTATGGGGTTTTTTTTAGTTTTTATTCCACAAGATGTAGAGAATATTTCTTGGTCTATTAATTAATCTTTGGCATATGAATTCTCCTAGCTATCTGGTTGCAGCATATATGCTGCTTGTTCATGCTCTATGCAGACTAATTGAGGAGTCATTGCATTCTAGTTATCATCAAACTCAACATAAGCATGCTTCGTAGCGTTTATTCTATTTGCTAATCTAGCTTATCGAGAAGAAAGTTTTCTCTGATTATTATCAAAACCAATCTAAATATTTTGATTGTGTTGATTGTTTTCTTTTTATACAGAACGCCTATGTGTGAAAGATGAATAGTTTTGTCTGGCAGTACTCTGGCACCGCTCTTTCACATGCATTAACGGCCAAGACTTTGGTTCGCAGCTAGCTGGGATTTCCTACGTTAAGATAGCTTTGGTTCAGTATTTTTGGGAGTGCTTACCCGGACAGTCCAAACAGAGAAAGGAGTGTCAACAAAAATGGCAAACCTTCTGAGTTGACAGGGGAGCCAAATCTCATGGATATTAAATCTGGATTTACTTGCTCATTTCCTGGAAGTGCCTATACGAGATTAATCCATAATTCTTTTCAGCTCAATTCTTATTGCATTGTTGGGCTATTATTGAATCAACCTTAGGCTGTAATAAGTGTGTCCGTAAATTAGAGAACTTTGTTTAGTATTCTGCCGTTTTGTCTTCCCGTTTTGGCTATTTTTGGTTTCATAGATTACAAATTTTGTATGTTTTCAAAGAAGCCTAACTTTCAATTGATGAATGCATATGAATACCAACAAATGCTGCGAGTGTCTGAATGTTTGCTGTAAGACAGTTGAAATTTCATTTATCCCAACATGGACCTTGGGATAATAAAAATTGAGCCAATCGGTGCCCTTCAAGTTTGAACTTGAACCTCTAGTGTTGCGACCTCAATGCTATGTTTGGTTGGTAAGGAGATGAAGGTGTTGAAGTTTGTATTGTATTGGTAGGATTGTATACAAGCTGAACAATAAGTTTGTTTAAATTTGGTTTAAAAATTCAATAAGAAATAAAAAATGTTAGAAAAATTCTCCAAACAAAAAAAAAATAGAGTTCAAATTTGGCTCGTCTTTGTTTCATATATTGCACAAACCAAGTCGAGTTAGATAATAAAATGTTCAAACTTGATTTGAAAACTTCACCACCTTCAAAAGTTATAGTGTGTTAGTGGTGGCAGACATAGTGGGAGTGGTAGAGGAGATGGTGACTACCGACTTTAATCGAAAAATATTTTTCACGTTTCAAAAGAAAAATATTTTTTCAATTCAAATAAACTTATTTTTCAATAGTCAAAAAAAAAATTTGTTTTGAGTCGTATCAAAGAGAAATAAATTTTAATAAATTTCAAAAAATCGTTTACACCCAAACAAACAGCCTAAAAATATAAAAGTTGGATTTGGGTCATTTGACTTCATCAAAACTTTCATCACTAGATACAACAAAAACATGATGCAGACATTATTTCTTAAAACAGAAGGGGTTACTGCAAAGGATCAAAAAAAAAAAAAAAAAACACAACATATGAATTACATTCAGTTTCAATGAAAATTAAGAAAATACCTATTTTCAACTCAATCAAGACACAAAATGGCAACAAATTTTTTTTTTTTTGTTATCTCTTCAGTAAATCTATTAAGGCATGTTTGTAGAAGATCCCAAGTAGCTAAAGTAGAGTTGTCTTGACTATATATTTCTCATCCCGTCTCAGTTAAGAACCTTCACCTCGTCTTCTTCAATGTCATTGTCATCTTCGTCGTCTCTGCTAGACTCTGCATCTTCCTCAACTGACTCGGCTGCTAATAGTTCCCCAGCCTTACTTCCATTGTCCATCAGGCTTTTTTCTGAAGTTGAACTAAGAGATTTTCCTTTGTTCATCTGCCGCACAAAAATGAAAATAAGCTACAATATACAAAGTAGAAGCAGGACGGATTATTTGACCATCAGCAGCTTTGGCCTCGTCCACAAGTCCTGCCTTGCAAACATGGACCAGCTTCAAAAAATGACTTACGAAAATGTAAAATGCAGGTCATTTTTGGCTTTTGATGGAAATTATTTTTCTTACAAAAAAATGTATTACTTATTTTTTGTCCAACCAAACAATGGAAAATGAGCTAAAAAATTTAGGGTGCAAATCAAAAGGCAAGTTAAGATAACAATACTAGAAAAGAAACAATTGGATGGAGTAAATATGCAACAAAATACCATACTACAGGAAAAGATGTCTCAAACAAAGCAACGTAATTTCAACAAGAGAGCTTGTGTCTGTGATTAAGTGAATGCTCGCAAGAGCTAGTGTAAAACTGGAAGGCCCTAACTACACATAAAAGTAGTTTCTGAAGTGAGGTCAGATTCACCCTTACCAGTTAACTTTCAACCTCAAACCCCTCCCGGAAGTTAACCCATGAATGCCTAGAATACTGCTTCTGCTTGCAACTTTCCAATATAAATAAGGCGAATAAATTTGATTGGTTTATTGCTCATGAAGGCATACACAATGCTGTAATCCTAATGGGTGTAAACCAAGTCAAAACAATACCAAACAAATTTTGTGAATATTTCTTTTCCTTTTCTCTCTACAAAATGCTATAACTGGCGCCTAATACTTTGGCCATCACCTCAAGTATCAATATATTTTTCTGGTGAATACCTTCCTCATCCAAAAAAGTTAGATCTAGGTTGTGCATCTGAGGCTACTTTGTGCAACATATTTCAAGTACCTACTGAGAATTTTTCTCTAAAGCATCCAGGGTTTTAAATAATTATTGGTCAACTATTGGACCAAACTATTTGAGCCACCTTCATATAACCTTCTCTCCAATCGATTAACAAAGTAGCATCTAATGACTGCACTCATAATTCATTCCACCCATTCTTGTATTGCCATTCATCTGTCGAATATGCTTATTCCCCTTTACTATATCATATTATGTGCTTATTGTTGCTATATGTCGAGGTACGATTGAATTAACCAAAGGAAATTAAACTTCATTTAACTTATCTACAAAGCCCTAGAACAATAACGGGCCCCAAGCATGAAGTTGTTTCTGTATTTATTTCAATGTGAGAAATTGGTACCACAATGTCAGTTCATACACCAAAGACTCTAGTAAGGAGGTATAAAAGCAATTCATAATGATACACTGTCCCTTACAAAGCTTTAAATGCAAGCTGTTAGAATGTTCTAAAACATACAAGAATAAATAAACAAAGGAGAACAAAAATTGTCTGACAAAAAATGTAAAAACTTTAGAGAAACCGAAGATCAAAAGTTTTGGAGTCTTACAGCACGTAGAAGAGTCCTCCTATCCCTTTCTCGAGCATTCTTGATGGCCTATAGCAAATCATTCAATCACATTGGTTTACAATGGGAGAATAACACTTATTCTAAAGATAATTAACAAAATGTGATATAATTATCTAAAACATTGTGTAAAAAATTGAAAATAAAAACCTCGTCAAGCATCTTCTGCTCAGCCTCTACTTCTGAAATGTCCCTGGAAGTGAGTAATACATACTGCATCAGAGCAAACTTGAAGAGAAAAGAAAAAAAAAATGTCTCCAGGTTTGGAGTGAAGGTATTCAAATCATTATATTCTTTAAAAAAAAAAAATCCAAAACCTTCCAATAATTCGGTCCACACGGCACGAGCACTTGGCACACACATGTTGCTCCTTAGCACAAGCTACACTTCAATCAAAACAATGGATTTAAAAATTATTTTTTTTCTTCTAAACATAAAAGAATAAATCTTCTATTCTAATAACATAAAGCACACAACTCATAACAGCTTTTTCAAGTTTTTGCACAATTTTGATTCCAAAAATGCCCCTAAAATTGCTAACTTAGTGAATTTGAGGAATTCTCAACTTGAAGGAAAAATTGTTTCTCCCTTGATTTGATAAACATTTGATGAAAAGGTTGGAATGCTTTTTGAGCACTTAAGCATTGGAGATGCTGTAATTAGTTTTGAAAACCAACCCATATTCCTACATCAAAAGAGACAGAATTTGTGTTTTCTACATCTTTGCAACATGGGAAAACTAGTTTTGACAAAACTGCATCCAAACAGACCTCCAAGTTGGGAAGGAGTAGCAAACAAACCTGTACAAAGATTGTGGTAAGCTTGACGAACAGCCCGTTTCGAACAACGTTGACTGTTATAAAAAAAAAAAAAAAAAAATCAAAAATCAAAATCAAATCCAACGAAAAGCCCTGAAAATTGATGAAATTAAATTGTGAGTACCATTTAGCAGGCTCGGTGAGAGGCTTGTATTTGCCATACTTGCGTTTCCATTCGATCTGGTCTTTACAGCGATGGCAAACTCCAGTTACATCTGACAAAGGCCTGAACTTGCCTCCTACTTCCTATTGTTTTATGTATTTAGATTCATACATAAATACACATACACAAGTGAGAATAGATGAGAGAGAGAGAGAGAGAGAGTGTAAGAAAGAGAGAGAGTACGGTTTCGTTGATCTTGACGCCGGCGTTGGGTTTCCAGGCGAATTTGTTTTGGTGCTTGGGAGGCCCTTTCCTGCTCATCTTCGCCGCCCTCCTCTGCTCTTGCTCTTTTCCACCACCACCACCACCACCACCACACCTATATGACCTAGCCGCCGCCTTGTTGTAAACAAAAATGTTTTTCTTTTTTTTGATGAAATAATTTCCAAATTATTCCTGTTTATCTTGCCAAATATACTTAGGGTTAGTTTGGGAACAATTTTTTTAATTTTTTGATTTTTTTACTAATTTATATATGTTTTGAAAAGATGGTTAGAAGTTGATTTTTAAATTTTTAATTTTTTTTAAAAAAAATGTGAGAAATGATGTGATTCAAAATAAATTAAAAGTTGAAAATTGACTTTTAACTCACTTCTCAAAAGAATTATTAATTTGACTAAATTATATTTAGTACTCAAAGTATTATTTACCATTATTTAAGTGTATGAAAAATTTTATAAGTAAGATATGTTAATTTACATTTATGAAATAGTTAGTAAATAAATAATGACTCATAAAAGAATAATAATTCATTTAATATGTTGCGATTTCTCATTAATTAGATGAATAATGTAAACAACTCTACTTAATACTTCCAAAAAAAAAAAAAAAAAAATAAAATTTTTTTATTCGTGCTCATACAATACCCTATAACTACTGCCCGCATATGACAAAGTTATTAAAATCAAATAACCATCGTAAATTTTGATGTATCTAAAATAAAATAAAAATTCACCATCGTTATCTTTATGTCTTTGTGCGTGTGGAGGAGAGTTCGGTTTCATCTTCTTAGCCCTGAAAACCCCCCTTAACCAATTTTTAAATCTCTAGATTTGTGAGTAAAACTTAAGTCAGTAGTTCTATGGCCCATTAGCAATTGCAGTTTGTGGGTCCCGCTGTGTGTTCAAAACTTAAGTCGGCATTGATATTATCATTTAGAATAAAATTATACATATTAATTGATATATCAATTAATAATAAATGATATAATATAATTTTAAAAATTTTAAATTTTCATAATTTATATAATAAATGGGATATATAATTTTAAAATGATAACATCATAATATTTATATAATAAAGCAGGATGATTTTTGAATTTGTCCTATACACATTTGTCCTGTTAGGACATCTGGATGACTCAGATATATTCAAATTATAAAACAACGGCTGAGATATATTTTTCAAAAAATATCTTACATGTATATTTTCTATTTTCCCACTTCTCTCTCTTTCTTTTTTTTTTCTCACACATTCTTCTATGATCCCGTGATCCCGCTTTCATCTCTCTTTTCTTTTTACTTTTTTATTTTCTCCCATTTTTATTTTTCTCACTATTTGTTTATTTTTTTATTTTCTCATTTCTGTTCCTTTATTTTTATTCATATTATATGGAAAAGCATGCGATCCCATAATTAGGAGCTAGATTTTACTGTGTGTAGTAGAGATTAAATTAATAAATTTTATAGTTCACAAATTAAATAAATTTGAACAATTAATTATTATTTTTAAATACATTGAATACCTGATAGATCTCATAAATTTAGACCTCATATGAATCTTCAACATCTATATAATAAAGCAGGATAGTTTTTGAATTTGTCCTACACACATTTGTCCTACTAGGACATTTGGACGACTCAAATCTATTCAAATTATAAAACGGCTGAGATATATTTTTCAAAAAATGTCCTACATGTACATTTTCTATTTTCCCGCTTCTCTCTCTTACCTTTTCCTTTTCTCACACATCCTTCTATAATCCCATGATCCCACATTCCTCTCTCTTTTCTTTTTATTTTTTTATTTTCTTTTTTTTGTTCATTTATTCTTATTCATATTATGTGGAAAAATCTGCGATCCCATAATTCGGAGCCAAATTTTACTGTATGTAGTGGAGATTCAATTAATGAATTTTATAGTCCACAAATTAAATGAATTTGAACAATTAATTATTATTTTTAAATATATAGAATACCCAATAGACTTTGTAAATTAGACCTTATATGAATCTTCAACATCTATATAATAAAGCAGAATGGTTTTTGAATTTATCGTATACACATTTGTCCTACTAGGACATTTAAACGGCTCAGATCTATTCAAATTATAAAACAACGGCTGAAATATATTTTTGAAAAAATATTCTACATGTATATTTTATATTTTCTCGCTTCTCTCTCTTACTTTTTCATTTTTTCACCTATCCTTCTATGATCTCATGATCTCACATTCCTCTCTCTTTTCTTTTTATTTTTTTATTTTCTCCCATTTTTATTTTTCTCTCATATTTGTTTATTTTTTTATTTTCTCCTTTTTATTCACTTATTTTTTATTCTTATTATATGGAAAAGTCTACAATTCTAGAATTAGGAGTCAGATTTTACTGTGTATAGTGGTGATTATATTAATGAATTTTTTAGTCTACAAATTAAATGATTTGAACAATTAATTATTATTTTTAAATATATTGAATGCCTAATAGATTTCGTAAATTTAGATCCTATATGAATCTTTAAAACTATATAATAAAGTAGGATAGTTTTTTAATTTGTTCTACACACATTTGTTCTACTATAATATTTGGACGGCTCAGATCTATTCAAATTATAAAACAACGACTGAGATACATTTTTCAAAGAATGTCCTACATGTATATTTTCTACTTTCCTGCTTCTCTCTCTTACTTTTTCATTTTCTTACCCATCATTCCATGATCCCATGATCCCGCCTTCCTTTCTCTTTTATTTTCTCCTGTTTTTATTTCTCTCTCTATTTGTTTTTTTTTTCCTTTTTGTTCAATATATTTTAGACATATTTCCATACAATGTATGTATGCCTGTAATACACTAGGACATTACGGGCATACATACAATTTCCATATAATTATATAAGTAAAAACAGTATTGTATATATGCCCGTAGAAATTGTATGTATTCTAGGTACATCTATCTATCTAGTTATATATTATATAAACAAAAGTAAGTTTTCGTAAGGAGTTTTGTGAGAATTTCAAAATTTTATAATAAATTTATGTTTTTATCAAATTAAAAAATAAATTTAAATAGTGTTAAGATTACAATTATATTACAATCCTAATATTACTTATACCGTACCTTCAGGCACAGATATACACTAATACATATATATTTTATTTCTAATCTAAACCCAACTAACTTTGCCAAACCACTTACATTCCAAAGTTCAAAAGCATCACTTACATTTCCAAAATAAAAATGTTAGAAAATTTAAATGTTCTATGAAAAGTTATACTAAATGCTCAAAAATAAATTACAAATATACTCTTTGAAGTTTGATTAAAATATAAAATACTTTTTGTAATTTTGAAAATTACATTTCATCTTCTGAGATTTTTAATTTTATAACAAATCGCCCATTTTATTAATACATTATCAAGTCAATTAACAATTTTTAATGATATTAAAAATATGTTTCAATTAATAATTTAAATAATTTTATTACTGTATCGGAGAATAATTATAAATTTTATTTTTTTAATTAATTCTGTTAAATAAAAAATTTATTACTGGGAGATATTTATAATTTTTTAAATCACAAAGAGCAATCTATACTTTAAACAAACTTTAAAAAATCTATTTATAATTGTTGGCTTTTTGGCTTTCGAAGGTTACTTTTGTAATTATGAGCGTGCCAGTAAGGATCAATCAGTCCTTACAGAATTATAATTGCCAAACAATTATTCAGACGATTGTGTTATAGTTCTTTCGGCCTCACTAAAGAGGACTTTTACTGGTGGCTTACTAGTAATTTGACTTCAAAGAACTTGAGCATAAGAACAGTTAAATAAACTGAAGCATTTCATTAGTATGAAAAAACTCACAATGATCTTAGTTCCGTAGAGAATTACAGCGGCAATATACTTCGAAAACTACTCCTACAAATGAAGTGCAGCGCAGAAACTTAAAGTACAAAAATATAAAGGACAGGAAATAACACTGGAATATGTAGAGTAATTCTTTAGATCGTTCTTCCCTCTTCTCTGAAGTCCTTCCTGCTATTTATACTTTCGGAAGATAACCATCGAATTGTACTTCAAACCGTCGAACTGCCCCTCCGTAATCGCTGATCATGCTACCTTATAAGTAGCTCCACTATGCCTTCACTTGCAGTTAGGCTTCCCCCTTATATTCGAATTTGAATGTGAGCAACCATTGAAGCCACGTCACTGTACGTCTCTTTGTTGATCCGCTACTACTCAGATCTTATAACGACCAATATTAATTGCCACGTGTATGATCAGGATCGAAGACCTATCTGGTCTCCCCATATTACCCTCACTTTGCCACGCGTCGAATTGTCACTGGCTTAGTATAAAATGTGTAGCCAACAGTATGTATATGTATGTAGATACACACAGACACAATCGTTCCTCGGTCGGATACTTCTTTAAAACCCTTCTCAGCGTACCATCTAAAAACAAAACAATGCATTCTAGAAGAGTGTATATATATATATATAAATAACTATTATATATGCGTCAGGATCCTCTAGAGTAAACTCTCGGGTGATCTTCCAAAATGAGAAGATCCAACGGTTGAAAATAATACTAACTAAAATGATATCGTTTTGGTTATTAAATTAAAAAAAAAATTGATTTCAAAATAAATAGAGTGCGAGAGAGAAGAAGAGAGAGAGAGGGGGGTTGCTCCTCCTTGCGGCCCGTCGTCCTGTCGCCGTTGACGCCCTTGATCTCCCCAATCCCAGAACAATACAGCATGAAAACTACCTAATCAACAATACCCACAACAAGGATCAATACAAATGTTGAAAGGATTCAATAAGAAGACACCCAATAAAATAAAATAAAATAAAACAAAAACCAAATTCAAACTACTTTCTAGTCCAACTCACATCAAATCAAGAAAACGAAAGCTTAAATTTTTCTAATACTGGATGTCAACAAAGACTTAAAAAGATGAACTTCCCAGAAATAATGAAATATGAAAATGGGGTTTTCATCATTATCATCAGCAGCTGTGATTGCAGACCCAAGCTTTAAATTTTCTAATAATGGATGTCAACAAAGACTGAGAAAGATCAAAGAAATTACCAGAAATAATGAAATCTGAACGTGGGGTTCTTATCATCACCATCAACTGTG